GCAGTTGGGCTCTCTAGGACCACTTGTCCTGATGGGGAGGAAGGGTTTTCTGATTGATCTGCCATTTGTGAAGACTTTCCTTCGAATTGTTTTTGCCAAGTTTCCTGGCTTTTCTTTTTGGACATGCAAGATCAAGAAGTTTTTCGAATCCCACCGGGCGTGCCAAAACTATGTTCGTGTCAGGAATATCTGTCGGGGATGTTTCCTGGCCAACGAGCACACAGCTCCCCTGGAGGTTGGCGCCGGTTGAGGGCTGCTGTCGGGCTTCTGCTTCGCTGTCGGGCGTTGTCGGGCAAGTCTCGTCGGGCAAGACTCTTCGGGCAAGGCTGAAAGAGAAGGACAGCGTTAACTTTGAGAGGTGCCTTTGTGGGGCCTTAGGTGTAGGCCTTGAGGCTCACAATCAAGGTTAACATTTAGGTGCTCAGGCGTGCCACTGCCATCTTTAGCATGGCAGATGTAACATGGTAGTCGTACTTTAGTTGTATATATGTATGTATTCAAGAAACCGTGTTAGTTTATAACAGGTGCCTTTGTGGGGCCTTAGGTGTAGGCCTTGAAGCTTCCCATAAATAACTAAACCAGTGCTCGAACGCATCATATTTGTTCTCGTGATTGTAGGAGTTTTCTAACTATTATACTTCTGATTACCCGAATCCAAGAAGTAGAATGAACCCAAATAGGTGCCTTTGTGGGGCCTTAGGTGTAGGCCTTGAGGCTTCCCATCAAAGTTCATTCTTATACTTAGACTCTTTAGATCGCTGAACGGAATGAATCCAAATAGATGCCTTTGTGGGGCCTTAGGTGTAGGCCTTGAGGCTTTCCATTAGAATTCATTCCATGCTCAAACTTTCTATGGTAATCATGATATAATAGAAAGAAAACTAGAAGGTAGGTTGATTACTTGCGCCCCAAGTAACTTCAGACTTCTCGTTTATCAAGGACTGTCGTGGATGGGTTAAGTCCACATAAGGTTCTTTTTTATGTCTTGAGGCCAAGGACTTTTAACTGATCAGATTTACATGCCCGAGGGCTTAGGACTTGGATCTGGTTTGAACACTGACGATATATTCAAATCGGATTCAAGTACTGAGAAAGCCTCTTAATAATCATGTTGCTAGAAATAACTTGCATATAACTGGAAGTATACAACATATTGAAAAGACAAAACCAAAGCAAAGAAGGTCGGGCAAGGTTAAACCTTATCGGGTAAGGTTGCTCGTCTTGCAGGTTCCTATCTTTGTAGTTTTGTCAAAGGTCTGAAAGCTTAGAGGGGTAGAGAGAGAGATTACAAAAGATGAATCGATACTACAGCAAGGTTGAACAAGGTAGCAGAGCTATTACAAAAGGTTGAAGAGAGGGTTATCCCGAAAGGGATGGAGGTTTATCCCGAAAGGGATGAAGGCTGACTACAGCTTTGTTTTGAAGGCAAATCTGGCTTTGAGCAGAGTTTGTGCTTGCATTTGTTTGTTTGATTGAGTGTCCTTAATCCTGGATTTTCTTTCCTCTTATATAGACAACTCGGCTTGGCCTTTGGTAGCAGCAGCTTTGCCCGAATGCGGTTTGAGGGTGATGACTCATCAGCTATTTTACATGTAATGCCACCATAAAGTACTTTATTGGCTGTGTAACTGATCAGTCTACACCACTTGGCCTATGAGTAGGTAAGCAAGTGGTCTTCATGAGCTGCACCAAGTCAGAAAAGGCCTGCTCCTGCCTTCTGGGCTTTGACTGGGCTCCGGCAATCTTCCCTTTCGGGCCTCCCTTTGGGCCAACTCCTTTCTTGAGCCCAAAGTTTCAAGTTTTGATCCAAACAAATATATCTTAAAAAACTCAACTAGCGCGCCTTAAGTACTATGGTGAAAATAGCAAATCAATCTCAGAAGACCAAACTCGCCTATTGAGAGACTTATAAAACTCGCCCAAGCCGAGACTACCAAACTTCATATAACAACTTTACTTGGCCAGGTCGGTATGAACTCCCATTATAATTGAGAGGATTGACATCGCTCCCCAAATCATATCCAAACTTAGTTATGCTATGCAGGGTCAAATTGAGGAGTCCAGCATATCATACGGCCTGGACATAAATTACTCATGACTGAAGAGCCTCAAGTGCTTGTGGGATCTGAATTGGAAAAGTTGTTGGTTCGTTGAGAAGATAAGGAATCATGACTAAACAATATCAAAGGGATGAAGATCTCATTATTGTAGTGCAAAATGTTAGAATATTTTAATATTCTAGTGTGGCCCACATGCCATGATACATGTTATGTGGTATATTCGGTTTAATGAATACTGTTTTGCAAAGCAATTCTATTGGTCAAATTATGAGCATTGGTTTCCTCTTTTATTACCATGATGGATGGCATTTGATGACGTTCTTTTAAAGAGGAACATTAAGCCGATGTCAAGGCATCAATTGTGTTGACATTTGTTATTTTGAATGAATGTATGTTTTTGTCTACAAGAATTTCATTTTACGAATTAAGTATGGATTCAATTTCATATTCCCATTTCATAAATGCATTGATTCTACTTATTGGTTTTATATCCTGAATGATGCAGTTAAAATGAATGGATTGAAATAAAGTCTGACATTTCGTTGATTTGCGTAACGATATTGAGTTGTATGAAAGTATCGTCATGACACATAGCTCTCATGACAATATGCAATGATATAAAATTCAGGCTACTGATCAAATATTTCACTTGTAAGGAAATGATTCACTGTAAGGAGCATTCTCACATGTTTATAAGAATAACTCAATTAGAATCACACTGACATAAGTATCTCATTATGTTTTATAGATTCATAGAATTGATGTGAAAAATGTTATATTGGATGAATGGTTAACAGAGAACTCCTCACAAATTAATTTGAGAGCTTCTCATTACTGAAAAAGAAACACATAATTTTGTAATTTAAAGTATCATAGTGTGCAAAGTTTAATGGTATTGTAATCTACTTTGGTCTAATATTTGTATATATATCTCTAGTTTAATGGGAGTAAATTTATATTTATATTTATCATATAGATATTTTTCTTGCTAATATTGGTCTTGGTTTATTGCTTAAAACCATTAAATCTTCTCTAAGATCTATGAAACAAAGATATGAATGAGCCATTTTATGTGATAGGAATTTAAATATTTCGAAGGGATCACATGGATTTTTAGGCTATTCTCTTTAAGCATATATCGAAAGAGTTATGGAGAGATATGAAATAATCTTATCCAATTTAGTAAGGGACAAGTTTAGGCTTATTTGATTTCCATAAAGAATTGGAGCATCAAATTACGAAGAGAATTCATTATCGTTGTAGGAAATGTGGCTTGCTTTGAGGCCACAATTCTTGCTATTTAGTGCGATTTTTTCTTAAAGACTTGGTAATTATGTTTTATTACTAAGCCGCCGAGAATTCATGGTAATGTTGCAATTGTCACTTTCTCTAATAATGACAAGTATTGTAAGAATTCTAAACATAACAAAAAGAAAAGTATCCTGTATAAAGTAGATTCAGAAACAATGAGTGTCTGTGATGACAAAAGTTCTTCCCCCAACCCCATTAAGAATTAGATTATGGTTGTGGAAATAAATGACATATGTTGAAAGAATTGTGGTCATGATTGGTACTAATGATTTGGTGTGTTGGATGATGTTTAATTCTTTAAGTTGACACTCTAAGCTCAATAATTGGTGATATTTATGATATTTCCTGTTTTCCAATATATTTATACATGTATGAGATTGGATGTATATAACAGGAATAGTATACATGGAACGGTTATGTTGCATATAGATTTAAAACCACCATGACTCACATTAGTGAATTACTTAAAATTGGTATTTATATTAACCATTTGATAGTAAGGATGTTTTCAAATATAATGTGCACCTATTGTTTATTTATTAAACCAAAAGACATATGTGTCATATGGGCCAAGTGAGAGAATGTAAGAATATTTTAATATTCTAATGTGGCCCACATGTCATGGTACATGTGTGATATAAAGCAATTCTATTGGTCAAATTGTATGAGAATTGGTTTCCTATTTTATTACTGTGATGGGAGGTAATAGACGATGGGCTTCATTAGAAAATTGTACTCCTCTCTGCCTATAAGAGTGCACATATCCATCTAATGTATACACTAATGAAGAACACATATTAGGGTTTTACCATGCAAGCAAGGGCTAGAGAGAACCTAATTTCATCCACACTGACGACTTGTGTACGGATTGCTCAAGATAAAGATTGTAGATGGCATTTGACGGCTAATTATTGAGGTATGTAATTTATGTATAAAGCATTAATAATCATTTGTGAAAATCATGGAGTTCAAGATCTTGGCTCATGAATTGGGTCTTATGGATTTACCCAATTTTAATTTTACATGCAAAAAGCATTAAAATATAAAAATAAAGCCAACTTGGCCAAGCGATGAGTTGTATTATTAGCTGAGCGACGAACTTGAAGAATCATGGAGCCTTGATCCTTCTTTGTAATGACCAACAATCACTCTCCAGTATCACTTGGCTGAAGTGCGCTCCAAAGCTTGATAGATTGCCTCACGAGCAGCCTGAATTTGGCTTTTTTTTTAGATGTTATAAAATTTAAAGACTTGAAAGAAATATTAACTTTTCAAAATATTCGTCCATATAGATCCTAACCCATATATATAGTGATGTAAAAGAATTATAATTAATAGAAAACATTCTGCTACCTGCGGAAACAACATTTTGGCTATAAATAACGTTTGCCATATTTTTATTATTATAAAAAGTAAGTTTGCAAACTATTGATTTGTCTAGATGCATGCAAGAAGATCAACATTCAACAACAGTTCTAAGAAGATGAATGGAGGGTTTAAGTTGCAAGATCCATTCTTAATATACAACAAATCCTTATTCCAAGTTTCCAATATCAAAAGCTTCAGATTATTTTCTATTACATGATATATGCTGCAGGATTATCACTCTGGCCTATATATGCCTGGCCGTCACTTGAGCAATGACTCCATAATTTTTTCCCAGTCCTGTCAGCAATAACCAATAAAAAATAAATAAAAAAAAGAATGTTAAAATCGTAAAGGAGTCTATCAAAGTAATTAGAGTGAACACTTCTGGACTCTCGCTCATTTTGAAATGGATTAAGGATCTACAATGTTTCAATAACATGTAGCATGTAAGCAACGCTCACGAATAAAAATCCGCCACACGAACATTAAAATAAAATTTAATATATTTTTTCTACATATTAACAACTATTTCGTCACATTGGATCCCTCCGTTTTTGCTGATCAAGGTTTTCTCTTTTTAATTTCTTTGGTTATGTAGGAAAGGGTCGAACTCTTAACCTGCCCAATTTTCGATTATTTCTCACCACTTGGCTAATTCCAAATTCCCAAGGACTTACGTAGGTATATATCTCTCTACACGTTCGAGAGGAGCTTAAACCAACAAATACGAAAACTAGTGCTTGATGACATGAATATTTAAGAATTAAATTTACCTTGCATAATGAACATACCTCATCAGGAGATAGATCCACGAAATTCAGCCCATCGCCATCGAACTCAAGGTCCATCATATCACCTTGGTTTTCCTGCTACACCATTACATTGCCACTATGTTATTAAAATGAAATATATCATGAGTTGAAATTAAAGTTGATTATGCCAAAAGGAAAACCAAAGTACAGAAAATAAAATAAATCAAGGCTGCGCCAGGCGTTTAATATATAAAGGTGATCATTTTACATGCCTGGCCAAGGGATATTTCTTTGTTAAGAGGAGAATTTTCTTGGACCAAACTTGCATTGAGATCAGAATTCAAGACTTGTTTTCCCTAAACAAAAAGAAGATGATGCTCAATATTATATATAAATTAAGTCAAAAATAAAATTTAATTATGTTTTTCTTAGTACCTTGAAAAACATCAAGCATACCTTATCACAAGTCGCAGGTTCCGAATTAAGTTCATCCAAAGTTATACTATCAAAGTCATCACCATTGTCTTGTTCAGAATTCATGACTTCTTTTCCTTTTCCCTGCACAAAAAAAAAAAAAGAATAGGATAATTGTGAATGACTGCGTGAACAATTATTAATGGAGAAATGATGTTGCACATCTCTATTTATTTATGTTTCTTAATTAATTATCTTTTAATTTTATGCAATCCAAATAAAAGAAAAAAACACAAACGGGGATAAAAGAAGTATACGAAAATTATTTCCCTTATTGATGTGCAGTATTATATATCTAGTCAAAAGGGAAATCTTATATCTTTCTCACTACCATGACAAATATTTATACGAGCATACCTTATCATCAGTAACAGATTCCAGTTGAAGTTCATTCCAAAAGATATCACTAATATCAAAGTCATCATGACCAGTAGTGCTGTCTTTCAAATGTATCTCAGTAGAGCTAGAACAGTCCACTACTCCTGTCACATGGCTACTGCTGTTATTGGAAGCATTCACAAGATCAGTACCACCATATTGCTGCTGCTGCTGCTGTAGAGGATCTTCCAGTGCTGAAGCATTAACATTTTCTTGTCCAATATTATTGCCTTCAGCAAACATTGGTGACAACTGACTGCTGCTAGCACCAGAGGCATAATTTTTGACACCATTTGAAGTATCCCAGCTTGAACTAAACAGAATCTGACTTGGAATATTGGTACCAATTTTAACTCCATTTGCATTATTGCTCCCAAAGTTATACGCAACATCTGTCGATGTGTTAGTAATGGACCAGTTTCTTTGAGCACTGTTTGATTGAAATATTCCACAGTAATTGGCTGGTTGGAAACGATTTGGTGTGTTCATCATCAAAGGCTGCTTTCCAGAGTGAGTTTGAGCATTCAGTACGTATGGATTTTGTCTGGTGTTGTATGATCCTGATCGAGGTAGGCATCTGCTGCTAGAAGCTTCATGATCATTAGCACCACGTGGCAGCCGGTTGAGAAGCCATGCAGTATTCTGATTAACTAAGAGCTCGAAATTTTCATGGAATGATCTTCGTTGCTGCAGTGTGGATGCTTGTCTTTCTACTAGAATGTTTTGATACAATAGTGCACGTCTTGTTTGTTGGGCTCTTTCCACAGACAATTTGCTGACTGAAATTTTTGCTGCAACTTTCCTTAAGAACATTCGATATTTCTGAGAAAACAACGAAAGATTAATCATCATTGTTCATTTGAATTGAATTAATCATCAGTTATTTCAGCACACCCCCTTCTCTTTAAGCATATTTATGGCATTTTGATTAAATAAATCAAGAGTAAATTGTAGCTATTATCCCTTAACTTTAACTCAATTGGAGCAATGGTCCCTCAACTAAAAATCCATTACCATTGGTCCCTCAACTCATCAAAACGTGCAGCTATAGTCCCTCAACCAAAAATCCATTACCATTGGTCCCTCAACTTTAATTCAACTTGAGAAATGGTACCTTAACTTTAACCCAATTATAGCAATCGTCCTTCCAACATAACTCGTTTTGACAAAAATTTTGATGTTGACGAAAATGACCATAATTACACACTTTGATGAGTTGAATGACCCTAATTATATAAATGGTTATTCCAACATAACTTATTTTGACAAAATTTTGACGAAATTGATGAAAATTACTATAGCTACACATTTTGACAAGTTGAGAGACCAATGGTAATGAATTTTTAGTTGAGGGACCATTGCTCAAATTTGATTAAAGTTGAGGGACCATTGCTACAATTTACTCATAAGTCAAAGCAGAATAATTAAGGACAAAAACAAACAAGGGTGTGTAGAAGGAGAAGGGTGGGTGGAAAGGATTTATCATGCCCTACAATCAGGATTAAGCACCATTCAGTAGGAAGAACCACAAAGTTCTAATGTATACATATTCCTGTCGCATCAAATCATTTAATTGAAGGTTTTCAAGAATTCAAATCTCATGGACAGCAATTGTTGAAAAAAGAATCGAAAGATATTAACTTTCATAGCATTTGCCTTTTCTCTTTCGATTTCAATGAAACGTGAGGGTAATCATGCAAGAACTTTTACTAGTTATCACACGCATAGGTTAATTAGCTAAGTGTTGCAATTTGAAACACATTTATTGACATCTCTAAAACAAGTGGGTCTCACATACATAAGTTGAGAGTGTTGGCATCTAAAACAAGGTGATGAGTAAATGTGACCCAAATAGCATTACTGAACTTTCCACAGCTACAGACTTAAAGACAAACCTGCAAATGACTTGCAACGTTTTCTCTGGTTAACCCTTCAACATTCATGACCTCAAGGATTCTTTTTGGAACAGCCTCTGAAAAAATTGTAAATCAATAAAACCATAATCACTAGAAGTTAGTTATTAGTAGGTAATTAAGCCAAATCAAACTACAGCACTAAAAGGAATAGCAATAGTTAAATATACTAGTACGAAAAACTATGACCAAATCAAACTAACTTTAACTTACTGTCTAGGCCTATATAATTAATAGCCTCCAAGAAGCGATCCTGAAGTTCAGAAGTCCACTCGACCTTGTGCTTTTGTAGAAATATAAGTACTTTTCCCTTCCTCTGATGATCTTTTTCTCTTAGAATTGTTACTCCCATCTGTGGATGATGACGATTTCCCATCAACACTTGCTCTACGGTTAGTAATATTATTGTTTGAATCCAATCTTGTTGTTTCATTGGCTCCCAAAACCAATCCCCATAGGTTTTTCACATCACTAAAGCAAACTGGTTTCACTGTATAATGTACCGCACCATTCTCTAGAGCCGCTAGTATGGTACTCTCGCTGTTATCAGCTGAAGCCACTGCATCCAAGTTGAAACCAGTCAGAATTACAATCGTTACGTAATACTCATATACAAACATACTTACATACATAACAAAGGCTAGAAATACAATCGTTGTGTAATAATCATTTACAAACATAAGTACATACATAACAAAAACAAAAAGGTAACTGGATGCCTAGAGATATCCTTAATCTCAAATTTCACTTCAATATACCCAAATCCCCTATCTTCAAAACCCTAACCACTAATCTAAAAAGCCACTCTCACTTTAAGACAAAAAGTATATATATACAAAAGAGAGAAAATGGCACAAAAGGTGTGACTAATTAGGAATTTGGATATATAACATATGCACACAAAATATAAGGAACATGACTAATTACAGTTTCCTCACCAATTAACGGCAGCTTAAATTCATCTCTCACTCTTCTTATAACTTGAAGTCCACTAAAAATGTCAGGCAGGTAAAGGTCTGTGATAACAAGATGGAATTTGTGTTCCGCAAGCAGAAGTGCAGATAAGGCTTGGATTGGATTCATGAATGTCACAACTGAAACATAGCACAAAATAATAATGATTTTTTCACAATTTAGAAACAAAGTAGCATTATTCAACTAGGTTTTCGTTAATGTTTCAAAAGATACGCATGCATTGGATAATTAATGAGGTTCCAAAATGAGCGCGTATGCTATGCGAAGAGAAAATTAGGCGAAGGTCAGACATCGTTGACAGTCATGCAGTAGTAGGTACTCGTGGATAGTAGAATTATTTCACTAAGAACATAAACACTTACCTCTGTATATATACTGTGATGGATCGATAAACCTTTATACATATGACGCCAAAAATTAAATATGTATGAAAAACCTAGTCAACAGAAATCCAAATAAGCAGTATATATTGAAATTTGGTGGTATTGTTTTAAACATTAGCGATTTATGATAGTTAAACCTGATTTGATAAACTATTTGTAAAAGATCTCCAAATATGCAAGTGTGGTTTTTCAGGATAGAACAATAACCGGAAGAGAGAGAGAGAGAGAGAGAGAGAGAGGAGCTAAACAATCTAATTCCTGCCTTCTAAGTTTGATGAAAAAATAAAAGAATTAGAAAAAGAAAAGCAAAAACTGAAAGAAATGAAAGGGTTAAAAAAAGCAAAATCTGTAACTGGAAAAACACTAAAAGCTAATAACTCTAATGAAAAGCAGATTCTTTAAACTCTACTAGAAATCTATAAATCAATTTTTTACCTGAAATGAAAGAATTGGGTAGATTAACATGACTAAAATTGAAGGGCTGCATGCAAAACTTTACGTATATTTCGGGGATAAAATTACTTTCCCCTTTTTATTTCCTCTTCATTTCTCTTGTAAGAAGTGAAAAATCAAATGGAATGATGTTTCCTAAGTCTGGTACCTTCATGTTTCAAAAGTTTAAGCAAGCCTGAAATAAAGGTAAGAAAATCAGCATCAACGTCCAGAACGAGAATACGAAGTCTGATGGGAATGTTACTTGTGGGCATGATATCAGATTGGGGGCCCTTCAAATTCTTATCTCGACACATACTTGACGAACCTCTCTTAGGCCTTCGCATATGAACCGGAGAGGAAAGTTCAAACAAGGTTACAAGCTGGTAGAACAGTAGAGAGAGAGAGAGAGAGAGAGAGAGAGAGAGAGTGAGCTAGAGTGAGATGAGAAAGAGGGGGAGAGAGCATCCCTATTAGTTTGATTCATTCTTAAACTCCAGGTTAAACAGCATATATATAATGGATAAAAAGCAGGTGTATCGTGAGCCATCACAAATTGCTATGCCACATGCTATTTGTTGAGTAATTAATGTGCGTATCTGGGGTTAAATTTACAATTAATGCAGTTTACCAAAAAGAAAAAATCCTGCCAAAAGTTTCCAAAACAAGAAAATTATGCAACCTTTCTGTGGGCAATGCAGCATAATGTTTTTCTTCAGATCAACTTTTATTTTTCTAGAAGGGGGTTTATAGTTTAATCGGTTAAGAGCCTTCAAACTTTCACTCGAAGTCTCAAGTTTGACTCACCTCCCTCTATATCAACGGTATATGAACAATAAATAACTTATTCTTTTACTGCTACTTCTAAGTTCATCCCGAACACAATATTAGCTCAAAAATACTTATGAACAATCATGGTATGGGTGAGGTCTTGACAACTTATTTTAGTAAATTAAACTTTTAAGATGAATACTGAATAATGTATATGTGCGAGTGCACGTGTGTGTGTATATATATATCAGAACATGTCACATTTAATTATTAAGATCTTAATATACTAGTTGAATATATTGAAGGATGTTTCACTTTTTGAATCATACTACACGATACTAAGAAATACAGTGCAGTTTTAACTCACTTTCACTTGTAACCCTCTAAAGGAAAATTTCACCCTTTTATTTAATTATTTCAAAATATACACAAGCTTTATAATTGGAAAAAAATAACAAATTGTATATTGAAAATTGGGAAAATTTGAAATAGGTCCAATTTTATAGGCCTACTTTTGAAATAGGTCCAATTTTTAGTAACTTTTGACTTATTTTAAGTCCAATTTTTAGCTACTTTGGATCCATATCAAAAGACCCCTTGAAAATTCTACCCTTTTAATTCATTATTTTGTCCTGCATCTTCTTCTCTCTCATATGTTTCCTTCTTCTTCGTCTATCTCATATATATGTTTCCTTCTTCTTCTTCTTCTTCTTCTTCTACAATTGGATTTGAAGTAGTCTCGAAGAGAGAGTTTTATTACAATGTCCTTAAACGTCGAATTAATATTCTCAAAATAATTATCCCCAACGAGTCATAACAATGCTTAATCAAGCTTTACAGAGTTGCATAAATTATGGGAAAGGTTGAAGAACTTCATAAATGCAAAAGAGTCGAATAGAGAGAGGAGAGAGAAAGAGGGAAAAATATAGCTTTGAACATATTCACATTAATGAGAAATGAGAGGCTACATCAGTACATATAGTGTTTGAGATTCTAACTAACTAGCTTACAATACAAGGCAGCCAGCTACCTAACTCATAACAACCTAATCTTATTACAATCTAATAACATTGTGACACATGGACCAATACACTAAAGCCACATCAGCATTCTGTTATTACTCCCCCTCAATATCAGCTGGGATATCCAAGCCTAAGATTGTTGCAATGTCTGATGAAAACTAGGCTGTGTAATCCTTCAATCAAAATGTTTGCAACTTGTGACTCAGTTGAAACATAATGAAATGTAATGTCTCTTTTCTGCACTCTCTCTATGACAAAGTGATAATCAGTGTCTAGGTGATTTATTCGAGAATGAAATACTGGATTTGAACTGAGTGCCAAGGTAGAGATGTTGTCACCATGCATAGCAGGTGGAGAAAGTACAAACTCATTCAAATCTTTGAGCACATATCTTATCCAGCAAACATCAGCAGTGCAATGTGCTAGTGCTTTGTATTCATCTTCAGTTGAACTTCAGGAGATAGAAGCTTGCTTTTTTTATTGCCATGATATAGGATTTCCACCCAAATACACAACATAACCTGTTATTGACCTTCTTGTATTTATGTGTGTAGCCCAATCAGCATTAGAGAAAGCTGATATATGAAGATCAATTAAAGGAGTGTAAGTAAGACCACATTCCAAGGTTCCTTGTAGATATCTCATAATTCTTTTCATGAGGAAGAAGTGCATATCAGTAGGCCTAGTCATGTATTGACAAACAACATTGAAAGAGTGTGCAATGTTAGGCCTAGAGAATGTCAAGTATTGTAATGCCCTAACCAAACTTTTATAAATGGTAGGATCAAACATAGGCTTGCCTTCAGAGACAAGTAACTAAGTGTGTGGTTTGGATGGAGTTGGTACAAGTCTACAATTTTCTATTCTTGCCTTTTTTTAGTAATTCTCTGCATATTTTGTTTGATTGACAAAGAGACTTCCATTTTCCTTATATTGAATATGAAGTCCAAGAAAGTATGTCAGCTTCCCCATATCCTTCAAATCAAATAACTCTCCAAGTTGAGTGATATGAACTTTGTACTTGTTAGAACCTGTCAATATGATATCATCTACATAAAATGGGTAGAATGATAACAAACTACAACCTAGCTAGGTCTTCAATATGTTTGTTCTTAGGGTATGCATCATGATATAAGGGGGTTATTTGCTATCATCTGCAAGCTAAAAGATTAATTCTATCCAAACATGTGCTTCATGATGAAACTCAATTTCCAGCAGAGGTCAATAGAGTTTAAATCTCTGAGAATATAAACACAATAGTTCCTAGTTCTTCATCTCCAGTGATTGTGAATGTTTTAACTTTTGAAACTAACAATAATACATCTCAGGCACTGAATCATGCTACAACTTTATCAACTCAAGCACATGAACGTGATACTAGGTATACTTTAGGATCTGCATCAACATATGGTGGACTTCGAAATGGTTCTAATCACACTTAATCATCAAATGTTGCAGAGTCATCTCAGGAATCTCAAACACACAGTTCACAGGTCTTTCCTCAAACACAAGATCAATTTCTCCCATTGTTGCCTATTCTTGATCCTGCACAGCTTCAGGTAATATTACCTATCTCAGATACACATGAATCCATCTCTGAATATAATCATATATCTAGTTTTGGCAAAACACACAATATGACAACTAGATTGCAATCTGGTGCAATTATGAGGAAAACTATGTTGCTTATTTGTCTGTGTTACCTAAGCTAAAAACACTACAAATGGATGATGAAGATACATGCTATGTTGGATATTCTTTTTTAACAGAAATCAATGATACTGATGAACCAAAAACATTCAAAGCTGCTTCATCAAATCCTCATTGGCAGTAAGCAATGCAGGATGAATATGATGCACTAAACGCTCAAGGTACATGGATATTGGTTCCAACTCCAGCTAATAGGTCTATTGTCGAGAGTAAATGGATTTATAAAATAAAGAAGAATCCAAATGGCAGCATTGCAAGATACAAAACAAGATTGGTTCCACAAGGGTATACACAGGAATAAGTGATTGATTATGCTGAAACCTTCAGTCTAGTTGTGAGACACGCTACTATAAGGTTGATTCTTGCTCTTGCTACTTATCATAAATGGGAACTCAAACAACTTGACATTAAAAATGCCTTCTTGCATGGAGATCTTCAAGAAGACATATATATGAAGTAACCACAAGGCTTTATAAATCCAAAATGTCCTCAACATGTGTGTAAGTTGGTTAAATCTTATATGCACTCAAACAAGCACCTAGGGCTTGGAATTCAAAGTTCACAAGTGTGTTACCATTTCTGGGATTCAGTGTATCACAATTTGATACAAGTTTATTTGTCAAGAATGATGGAGAAGATATAGTCATTCAACTGTTGTATGTAGATGATATCATCTTGACAAGTTCTAACAAGTCCAAAGTTCAATTGATTATCACTCAACTTGGAGAGTTATTTGATTTGAAAGATATGGAGCAGCTGACATACTTTTTTGAACTTCATATATATTTAAAATAAGGCAGATCGAAGTCTCTTTGTCAATCAAACAAAATATGCCAGAGAATTACTTATAAGGTAGGATGGAAAATTGTAAACCTGCTCCAACTCCATCCAAACCACACACTTAATTACTTGTCTTTGAAGGTAAGCCTATGTCTGATCCTACCATTTATAAAAGTTTGGTTAAGGCATTACAATACTTGACATTCTCTAAGCCTGACATTGCACACTCTATCAATGTTGTTTGTCAATACATGACTAGGCCTACTGATATGTACTTTTTCTTTGTGAAAAGAAGTCTGATATATCTACAAGGAGACTTGGAATGTGGTCTTACGTACACTTCTTCAACTGATCTTCATATATCAGCTTTCTCTGATGCTGATTGGGCTACATAAATAAATACAAAAAGGTCAATAATAGGTTATGTTGTGTATTTGGGTGGAAATCCTATATCATGGCAATCAAAGAAGCAAGCCTCTGTCTCCAGTTCAATTGAAACTAAATACAAATCACTAACACATTGCAATGCTGATGTTTGCTAGATAAGATCTCTGCTTAAAGATTTGAATGAGTTTGTAACTTCTCCACCTGTTATGCATTGTGACAACATCTCTACCTTGGCACTCAATTCAAATCCAATATTTCATTCTCGAATAAAATACCTAGACACTGATTATCACTTTGTCAGAAAGAGAGTGTAGAAAAGAGACATTATAGTTCATTATGTTTCAACTGAGTCACAAGTTGCAGACATTTTGACTAAAGGATTACAGTTCATTATGTTTCAACTGAGTCACAAGTTGCAGACATTTTGACTAAAGGGTTACACAACCTAGTTTTCATCAGACATTGCAGCAATATTAGGCTTGGATATCCCAACTGAGATTAAAGGGGAGTAATAACAGAATGGTGATATGTCTTTAGTCTATTGGTTCATGTGTCATTGTGTAATTGGATTGTAATAAGATTAGGTTGTTATGAGTTAGTTAGCTGGCTGCCTTGTATTGTAAGCTAGTTAGTTTGAATCTCAAACACTATATGTACTGATATAGCCTCTCATTTCTCATTAATGTGAATATGTTCAAAGCTATATTTTCCCCTCTTTCTCTCTCTTCTCTCTCTTCGACTCTTTACATTTCTGAAGTTCTTCAACCTTTCTTATAATTTCTATAACTCTGTAAAGCTTGATACATAGTTGTAGAAATTATGAGAAAGGTTGAAGAACTTAAAAAATGTAAAGAGTCGAAGAGAGAGAGAGAGAGAGAGAGAGAGAGAGAAAGGGAAAAGTATAGCTTTGAACAGATTCACATTAATGAGAAATGAGAGGCTACATCAATACATATAGTGTTTGAGATTCTAACTAACTAGTTTACAATACAAGGCAACCAGCTGACTAACTTATAACAACCTACTCTTATTACAATCCAATTACATTGTGACACATGGACCAATAGACTAAGGCCATATCAGCATTTTATTATTAACAAGGTCATGCAGCTGCCCCTTGAAAGTTTGTGTTAAATAACTAGTATTCTTAGGCCCTTGGTAAATGACTTCGGTTTTGCCGTACCAAAGTCAAATGTCGACTCATTCTTGTGTAATAAGCCATACTTCAACATTATTGTGATATATACCATAAAAAAGGCTGGGATTGTGAAGGGCAATGTTGAGAGCAAGGTCGTAAAGTAGGGTGGTATCGTTAGTGCTGAAATCTAATTGTGTAAGCAATGCATAAGGTATGTCAGACTTACTGTAGAGGGGGGAAATGAACAGGCATGATCCGGTTGAGAAAACCGACGACAGTGGCAAAGATAATGATGATGAAGTTATTAACGACATGCCATGTAACACACCATGGTTAAGAACAATGAGCTAGCTAGGGATATAAGATATAAATTGCGGGTACTCTGGATTAGGTGTCAGGGTTTAGGGTTTAGGTTTGTACGCAAAACATGAGAAGTTTGCTTCCTTTTTTCCCTCTTCTAGCTTCGACAGGGTCTGATTTTTTTCTTTTTTTCACAAATCAGGGATGTTCCAGATTAAAATTAATAATAGGATGATTTGGCGCAAAAGATAACCCTATAGAGGAAACTAAATCTTTAATTGTTGGGACATGCTAGCTTCTTCTCCTCTAATGGTTGTTTTCATGCGTGCTTGCTACCTGAATAGAGGTTTGATTCCTCTTTCTACTTATAAAAAATCCTCCGCGTGACTAGGTTTTAAAAGGTTCTTCCTATTATCTCTTTGCATTTGACTTGGGTTTTGGGTGATGGTTCTCAAATTTCTTATCTTGAAATCCCTAATACTCTTGCTCATACGGTCAAAACCCCAGTGAGAGATTTTGTATTCGGTTCTCATTGGGAGTTGCCAGCTGGTTTCATTACTATTTTTCCTGAGGTGGCTACTTTAATTATAGCTACTCATCTCCTGTTACAGGCATCTATGGACTCTTTATGTAAAGAAGCTAAAATTGAGTCATCAAAGTGTTGATAACAATTGCTTATAGTTTGTTATACTGTTTTGTAAATGGTTAGTTTGGTTAAGGGTATAAGTGTAATATGTTAGAATAACCAAAACTATATATAACAAACTCTGCTGTAATTATTCATTACATTGAATGAAAGTACAGCCTTCAGTTTCTAAATGGTATCACGCCCTTTTTGCCTCACGGCTTCTTCTCTCTTGATCCTCTCGATCTTTTTCACTTCTGCTCCCAATTTCTGATCTTTCTTCTTAATTTCTACTGTGATTCTTCTCTGTTCTTCTTCGATTGCAACTTCTGTGTAGTTGCCTGGTTTATTTCTCTGCATTTCGTCATGGCGTCACCGTCTGATTTGTCTTCTCCCATTGAGTCGGTGTAAGCTTCAAACCCTAATTTCTCCAATTCTGCGATGTCTTCGAATTCGTATGCTTCTTTTACGATCCAAAACGTATGCAGTATGGTACCAATCAAACTCAAATGATCAAATTATCGCCCATGGCGTGCTTTATTTGCCCCAATTCTGCGCAGGTATAAGGTTCTTGGTATCATTGATGGTACTGAAGTCTGTCCATCGCCTTTTCTTCTTGATCGCTCTCTCAATCATTCTTTTGAGATTTGGTATGAGAAAGATCAGAATCTTCTCATTTGGTTGAATTCTACTCTGTTTGAAGAAGTGATTCCTTTCACAGTCGGTGTCTCATCGTCTCGGGACTTATGGCTTAAGCTTGAGTAGCGCTTTGGATGAGTCTCTGATGCTCACATTCATCAGTTACGCTCTCGTCTCCATTCAATTCAGAAAGGTTCACAGTCAATTTCTGATTATCTTCACAGATCAAGGAAATTTCTGATGCTTTAATGGCGGCTGGTGCTCCTGTCACAGACTATGACCTAATTGTGGCTACACTGGTTGGCTTACCTGATGAGTTCGAATCCTTTACTGACTCACTTCTTTGTCGCATCTCCACCACAACTCTGGATGAATTACATGGCTTACTACTCACCAAAGAATTGTTAATGTCTCAAAGGAAGAAAGTTGTCTCATCGAGCACCACAGAGCTTTTTCATGCATTTGCTGCTCAATCACATCCTCTTCTTTTGCCTACACCACCACTGCACCAAGCCTTCGTTGTTCAATCACAGCTTCCTCGTGGACATTACCGCAGCAAGCATCGTGGAAACTATAGAGGCACTGCTCGTGGTCATCGTGGTAATTACAAAGGCAATAATTTTCGTGGCAATTCTCAAGGTTTTTGTAGCAACTCTCAAGGCTCTCGTGGTCTTAATTGTCAAATCTGTGGATCAACCAGTCATGAGGCTATTGACTATTTTGATCGAATGAATCCGGACTTTTTTGGCAAAGTCATTCCTACCAAACTTGTTGTTATGTGTGCACATTTTTCATCCAAGCCCTCTCCTTCTTGGCTCATTGATTCGGGTCACATATAACAAATGACATTTCTAACATTTCATCTCCTAATCCTTATCGCGGTGAAGACAAGGTCTACATTGGTGATGGTAAAGGTTTAACAATTAGGAACATTGGTTCTTCGTTTTTACATACTCCCTCTGCTACTTTTAAATTGCAAAATGTTCTTCATGTTCCCCAAATGAAGCACAATTTGCTCTCTGCATATCAATTTCTCAAGGATAATTATTGTTCTTTGACACTTAATTCTGATGGATCCTTTGTAAAGGATCGTTCTACGGGGAAGACGTTTTTGTGGGGACCGGTTAAAGATGGTTTTTATCCCTTGCAATGTTCATCTCCGTCACCTATAAGCTCTGCTGCTTCAACCACTGCCTTAATAAGTGTCACAGCACTTGTTCCAATTTGGAACAGTCAATTTGGCCATCCTTCTTCTTCAATTTTCAAGCGTGTTCTTTCCCAGAATAAGCTTGCTCTTCAAGGCAGAACTTCAGTGGATTTCTTTTGTTCCAACTGTGCTCTTGCCAAAAGTCACAAGAAATCATTTAGTCCTGCTAGTTCTACTCCTTCTTCTTGTTTAGAACTTGTACATTATGATCTTTGGGGTCCAGCTCCTGTTATGTCTGTGAGTGGTTATAGGTACTATATGTTGCTTGCGGATAACTATAGTAAATACAGTTGGTTCTTTCCTATACAGACAAAATCTGAAGTGTATTCTGTATTTGTTGAGTTCAAGAGTTATTTAGAAAATCTTATTGGTAATAAAATAAAGGTGCTTCGTTCTGATTCAGGAGGTGAATTTACTAGCTCTGCACTCCAGCATTTTCTCAAAACTCATGGTATTATACACCAATTTAGTTTTCCACACACATCTGAACAGAATGGTTGTGCAGAAAGGAAACATCACCATCTTGTTGAGATTGCTCGAACCCTCTTGGTTGCTTCTAATGTGCCTCATGTTTTATGGGTAAAGGCTTTTTCCACTGCTATATACTTGATTAATCGCCTTCCAATCTCTAGTCTAATGCAATCACCCTGGGAATTATTGTTTCATACTCAACCCGATTACAGTCGACTGAAAGTATTTGGTTGCAGTTGTTTTCCATGGCTTAAGCCTTATACAACTTCCAAAGTGGACAGCAAAAGTAAGTACCGTGTGTTTTTGGGTTATAGTATTCAACATAAGGGATATAGGTGCTTGGATCCATTGACACAGAAGGTATATATATCTCGTCATGTTGTTTTTTATGAATCTACCTTTCCATTTCATCACTCTCAGCCATCATCTTCAAGTCAACCACTGTCCTCCACTGATTCTCGGTCTACTGTAGTATCTTCAGTCGATTTGCAGTTTACTATTCCCCACTCTTTTAGGTCTTCTCATACTGCTGCGCCTGTCCTATTTACTGATATCAATGTTGACTTGTCTTCACTGTCTCCCATCCAAAGTATTATTAATACTTATTCACGTGCTGAGATTGTTGATACCCATGCTGCCACTGTTACTCCACACGCTACTTTTGTTGATGTGACTAGTACTCCCATCTCGGTCCCTTATATCTCTTCTACTGTGCACAATATTCATCCTATGATTACCCAGTCAAAAGCAAGGATATTCAAACTAAAAGCCTTCTCGGCCACCAAGCATCTTCTTCCCTCTTCCATCGACTTTGTTCCCTCTACTTATTTGCAGGCTTCCAAGCATTTTCACTGAAGAATAGCCATGCAGAAAGAGTTTAATGCTCTGCAATCTACAAGGACTTGGGTTCTTATACCCTCATCTCCTCATCACAATGTTATTGGTTGTAAATGGGTGTTTCAGATCAAGAAACATCCTGATGGTTCTATAGATCGATATAAAGCTCGGCTTGTTGCCAAAGGGTTTCATCAATAAGAGGGCATCGACTATAAGGAAACTTTCAGCCCTGTTGCTAAGCCTGTCATAATTCGCATTCTCTTGTCTCTTGTTGCTCAATTTCACTGGTTTTTAAACCAGTTAGATATTAGTAATGCATTCTTGCATGGGGATTTACAAGAAGATGTTTTTATGCAGCAGGCTCTTGGGTTCAGTGATCCCTCTTTTCCTAATCATGTGTGCAAGCTTAAAAAGTCTCTCTATGGCCTTAAACAGGTTCCAAGGGCTTGGTTTGACAAATTATTTCAAGTGTTGCAATCCTTTGGCTTTCAGCAATCATCTTCAGATGCCTCTCTCTTTGTCTTACACGATCCAACCTTGGTTATCATCCTTGTATATGTTGATGATATTCTAGTCACAGAACCTAATGCTACTCTCTGTCAACATTTCATCAATAAACTGAGCAATGTATTTCCAGTCAAAGATTTAAGTTCTTTGCACTATTTTTTGGGACTTGAGGTGCACAGGTCATCTGAAGGTATCTTTTTACATCAAGGCAAATATTTACTTGATCTTCTTCAGAAAACTAAGATGGATGGAGCCAAACCATGTTCCACTCATTTAGGCACGTCAAAGCTTGATCATACAGGTTCTTTTTTGTCCAACCCTATAGAGTATCGATCCTTAGTTGGTGCATTGCAATATCTTATTGGACAAGACCAGACATATCGTTTGCCGTTAATCAAGTATGTCAATTTATGCATGCTCCACGGGACTTCCATCTTCAAGCTGCTAAACGTATCCTCAGATTTTTGAAAGGTACTCTCACACATGGCTTATGGTTTCAAACCAGGACCTCTGACTCTTACTGCTTATTCTGATGTTGATTGGGCAGGGTGTACCTTTGATAGAAGGTCCACCAGTGGCTATTATGTCTTTCTTGGTTCTAATTTGATTAGTTGGAGTGCCAAGAAACAGTCCATGGTTGCACGATCCTCTACTGAAGCCGAGTACCGGTTGTTAGCTCATACCTCTAAAAAAATAACATGGATTTGTAAAGTTTTTTGAGATACTGGACTTCCCCTACCTCAGATTCCTCATCTCTGGTGTGATAATATTTCTGCAATCTCTTTAGCTTCAAACCCTGTTTTCCATGCCCGGACTAAACATGTTGAAATTGACTACCATTACATCCGTGAACTGGTTCTTGCTCAACTTATCAAGATTCAATATGTTTGCAGTCAAGATCAATTGGCCGATATTCATACAAAGTTCTTGTCTCGGCAGAGATTCTTATATCTTCAATCCAAGCTTTCTTTTGGTCCTTTTGATGCTTCCAAGTTCAGTTTGAGGGGGTGTAAAGAAGCTAAAATTGAGTCATCAAAGTGTTGATAACAATTGCTTATAGTTTGTTATATTGTTTTGTAAATTGTTAGTTTGGTTAAAGGTATAAGTGTAATCTATTAGAATACCCAATACTATATATAACAAACTCTGCTGTAATTATTCATTACATTGAATGAAAGTATAGCCTTCAGTTTCTATATTATGTTGGTCTGGTTCTCTCTCTGGTATTCTTACAGCAAAAAGGCTTATTCTCACTTGCTTAACTATGATCAGGTGATGTGAGGAAAAATCATCTGGTCTCGTTGGATTCAACCAAGGCAAAGCCTTACTATTTGGAAAGTCCTACAAGGTCGTTTCCGCACTGATGTTGTGCTTCAACATATGGGAGTTTCAATGGTTTCTCGTTGCTCATTTTGTAATTCAGCTGTTGAGTCTTTCTTTCACATTTTTTTGGAATGTCCTTGGACAGTGGATCTTTGGTCCTGATTGCTAGAGCTTTTTTGTCATCCCTCTTTATTGGTACCATTAATGTTACAAGTTTTTTCATAAACCTTTCTTTCAACTTTTTTTGGTTCAACTTGAAAACTTTGGATTATAGTGGCTTGTACTTTTATATGGAGCATTTGGTTTCTTCATAATCAAATTCAGTTTGGGGGCAAGTTTTCTTCATTGAATTATACCATGTGCTGGCTAGTGGCTCGATTTCGTGACTTGGCACTAGTGTGTTTCCCAAGTTGTAGCTCATCGTCTTCAGTGTTTCTTATTTTCTCTTTAATGGGTATCTCACGCTTTCTATTGAGGCTCCATCCTTTATTCGAGTCCATTGGAAGTTGCCGATGGCTGGGTGGTTTAAGGTTAATATTGATGGATCTTGTGCCAACAGGCGTGTTGGATTTGGGAGGATCTTTTTCTCTTCGAATGGTAAGGTGCTTGGTGCTTTTGCATGAAATACAAAATTTGTAAGTTCAATTGCTACATAAATTCTTGCCTTTATTAAGGCTGTGCGTATAGCTTGGGTCATAGACTGGAAGTTTATATGGATTGAAACGGATTTTATGTTGGTTATTCATTATCTTTTCAAGGCTCCTAATGCGGTCCCTTGGTTCCTTATAGTGGATTGGAAGAATTGTCTATAACGACTTTGTCAAATGTGGTTTATATGTACACATATTTATCAAGAAGGAAATTAGGTTGTAAATTCTTTAATTTCATTTGGGGTAAATAGTTATTGCTTATCACCGATGGTCTACAGTTCTGGATTTTGTTGTCTCTATCCATGCTCGTGACATTTCATTTTGTCCTTATTATCGGTTTAGTTGATCGTTTAGGCATTGCAGGTTTTGGCTTAGTAATGGTGGGGATGGGACCGGCTGGGTGAAGAGCTAATCTCGTCTAATCATTCTCAATTGAAATTAAAAAAACAAATCTTTGATAAACTTGTCAATTACTTCATCGTAATGATTAGTACGTACCATCCTATTTTAGCATGAAAATAAATATTTACACAGAAATTGCACAGGACTGGAGTTTTCTTGGGATACAGTCTAAAATATAATGTCCGAGCCTCCCGGTACGAAAAAGATTCAGCAACTTAGCTGCGACTTTATTTTCAGCATCTTCTTCGGATTCCAAAGGAACGTGAAAAGCTCCTCCCATAGCCTTGATTTCTTCCTTAATAAGCCTTTCGTCTTCCACATCACCGTCGAAAGATGATATCATCTCAAAGAGTGTCTTACGAACCTCATGCACTATGAAATCCTGCATGAAAAACTTGAAGTCACTTTGAAAGACTTGAATGTCACACTTATTGTCCAGAAAATTATGATGGAACCACAAATTCAATAATATCAATGTTTTTTAACCATATTTTTATTCCAATTATTTATCAATCTCAATTTGTTGTCACTGATATGTGCATTGTTATTGTTATAATAAACTTAACAAGAGAATCTTTTATTGTTCATTAAAAATAAATCCACAAACCAACTGGGACAACTTTTGGAATTCAAGATTATGACAACAAAAGCTCTCAAACCTGCGTGTGATCTGTGGGGTATTCATTTTTCCGTTTCATGCCGATTTCAGAGCTAGTTGAGGATTCTATATACTTATTTGCAAGTGATCCCTCATTCTCGCTGTTGGAGAACTTTGCCCATTTCTTGTATTCGTCACTCCTGTTCAAGATAGCCAGAAAATACTGAGCCAGTTCTTTTTCCCCAGCAAAAGAATCTCGAATCGTTCCTGCAGTTGGAAATGCAAACAGATGAACAGAGCATCTTTAACATGTCATAATTTTCACTCATACCAGTCATTCTGCAGTAACAGTGTACGGGCAAGTAACTCGATTTGCCCTCTTCATACGAGAGATGGTATTACACCAGAAACAGAAACCCTTTTGGACTAAGTGAAGCTAAAATAAACTATCCGTGATGCTCATACCTGTCAAGGCTAGCTTGGTGCATACATCATCATCCGAAATATGTGGAGGCAAAACGCCTGGGGTGTCCAACACGTAAATATTGGGGTGGCTTGCAATCTGAAATGAAATACTGAATGCCGTAAGCAGCTATATGTTAAAATAAGAGTGATGCACTCACACACTATTTTATGGTTATTAATATACAAAATACAGTGGTAAAAATTAAAAGACAGTCGACAAACCTTCAAGCTGCTTATATTTTTTGTCTCACCAGGATGTGAACTCACTGTAGCACACTTCAACTTTCCCTTCTCTACAAGACAACCAATGTCCAATAAAATATAGAATTTATTCCACTTCTACTGATACGAAATACATGAAAATGAATTTTTTGTGATTATTTCCAGCTAAACACTCCCAGAAAAGAAAATTGAATGATTATGATTTAAAGCAGTACCTGCTGCGCTAATCCTCCCAATCCGATGCAAAGAGTTGGCAAGGGCTGACTTTCCAACATTAGGAATTCCAACTAGCAATATTGTTGTGGTATTACAGTGATCAGCTTTCTTCAATTTTCTTACTTGAGCTTGCAAAAAGTTCAACAACTGTAAGAAGTAAACCGTCCTCAATATCCAGCAAACTGAAAAAGTAATCTAGGGACAAAAAATTAAGAACCAAAAAAGCATATCGTTCTGCTGTGTATATCCATATTCTTGGAAAAACCTATAAATGTTTCATTTTAATAGTAAGTAAGAGTTCACATGCCAATGATCACCAAGCACATGTGAATTCCAGTGAAGTAGAATGGAACAAGAAAATGCTGAACTTAATTTTGTGTGCCCCAAATGTTTTAGACTGTTTTGGGACCCACTACATTTTGATTATAGAAGTGGGGTATATTTCATTACCTTCTGTGATTTCTGCACCTATTACACCGCACCTATTCCACCACAACCTTTCAGGTTTCAGAAATAGACACTTATGTCCCGTGTTTTAGTCAAAGTTTCAGTTAAAAGTCATTTTCTCTGCCGAAAATTAGAAGGAAAAAAAAAAAAAAAAAAAAAAAGCCTCACTTCTCCCCCTCCCCCTCCAGTTCCAGCACAGTGTGGTCATCCCAAAGTTGGTCCAGATAAACAGATAGATGGAAACAAGTTGCGATATAGAAAATGAAAAGTGTGATTGTTTTCTATCGTTCAATGTGTTTTTTTTCCTCCAATGAAAAATGCATTTAACAAAAGTTATTACAAACAGATATGGTAATTACATTTTACCTGCTGAATGCTCTCGTTATTATGGGCATTGACTCCATATGAAACACGATTATTTTGTTTAAGGTACTTCATCCAGTCCTACAAATCAATCAAAATGTGAAATTAAGAGAAAAGTAGAAATGAAAATGGTTTTTAGGAACAGGTACACACAATCTCTCAACACCGTAGTAAAAGTAAAAGGAAAGAAGCATCAGCCTCAGTTAAATGTCAATTGACCAGCTCTTTCACCATTAAAGAAATTTAGTTCACAGAAAATTGACCTAACTTACAATATTTCATGCTCATTCAGTAATTTGTCCTATAAATCTAACATGACTAGAAATAAACCTGCAGAAGAAATGCTCACCTTCAGTTGAGAACGGTTTGCAAGGTCCATCTTGTTGAACAGTATTATTCTCTTTGAGAGTGGTGTATAGTTCCTTAGTAGGTCAAACTCTGACGAAAATGGAATCTAAAAGTAGTATTATTGAATTACTAGTGGTTCAGATCATATTTAGTGCAACTCTTATCATAAAACAGAAAAGATAAAAAAAGGAAGTATGTGAAATGATGCTATCACTGTTGAATTAGCATTTCTGAAACCACTCATGTAATATTCCCATTTAAGATTTCAAACAAACTTTTTATTTCTTCCCAATTTTGCTTTTTCTTTGTTTTTACTCGCTAAAGAAGTAAAAAGTAAAGAGCCAACTTCAAAGCTAAAAAATTACTTTAAAATGCAAAATTCCATTACGAAAGATATGTTTCAAATGTAAGCAAACCATATGGTTCCTCGACTCCAGATTAACCAAAACCCGAGTAATGAATGAAAACTTTGACAAAAAATTATTTCTCCACATAAGAATAAGTTATACAATAAGCTAAAACTAGTAGTGTAGAAATAAAGACAACTTCATAAGAGAAAACTGTATAAAATTCTGGGGTAAAAGAAGCACTTTGTCAAACAAACAAATTAAGCAAACTTGAAAGCCAGATACACAGGTTGCACTAGTTTTCTACAATTAAAGGGCTAAAAGTCACAAATCCAGAGCTTAAACATAGAAATCCGAAGAAAGAAAAAAAGGCTACAGCATGTGAGTCAGGCATTTCATCAAACAGTTGCAGTGCGTGCGTGACAAATACTCTGAGTTATTATTGTATTACCCTTGAGTCTCTGACTTCGAGAACGAGATCGACCAATGGGATCCGTTCGGCAATGGCGCGGGAAGCAGCAGCCATGTGAGGGTTGAACCATCCGTTTCCCGCGCTTGTGCTGTTTGTAATAGCTCTGCCTATTTGCCTTGCCAAAGTAGCCGTTGCCATTCCGCTTCGAGTTTCAAATACCGTTATTTTTCCGAGTTTTAGATGTAGGCAACGGACACCGACCCTTATATGTTCGTTTCGACCCTCGCTCTTACGTAGTAAAAATCTTTCGGATATGTTAACTTAATTTTCATAATATATTAAGATAACTGTTATTAGCATTTTATAAATCTTATTTTATATTTTTTATAAATATATATTTTTTTTAATTATAAAATATTTAGAATGTAAAATAAGATTTTTGAAATATCAATAATAATTCTCTATATTAATATTCATGAGATTAAATGAATGTGTTGGCACTTAGTATTAAGCTTTAATCGTATTTCTCTTCACTTGTAAGTAAGAGGTCTTAGGTTCGATTCTCACTAAAGAAAAAATTGAACCACGTTATTGTCAGCCTATTGTAAGGCTTAGCCCACTCCCTCATCTCTTTAATGTAGATAATATCGCTTGCTAAAAAAAAATTGAAACGTGTCATGTTTATGCTATCTGCTTCATTTCAAATGATTATATATACATACATTTTTAGGTTAATCTCAATTTACTACTTTGAAATTTCTTTTGTTTTCAACATTTGGTGCATAAAGTTCTTTTTGTTCTAGTATGATACCTAAAATCATAATTCTAGAATGTTTTCATACATCTGTTAAGTAGTTTTTTGTCAGAAATTTCGTTAATTGCTAACGTGATGTCCACGTGAACAATGATTGGGGTCACGTATCAATATAGATATCAAAAATTTTTAAAAATAAATAAAATGTAACAAAAATAGAAGTAAACATCAATCTGGGCTCTTCTCTCTTCCTCCGCACCCAGTGGGCAAGTGCTCCCCCTCCCTCTTCGACTCCTACACATCCACCCTCTTCATCCTCCCTCCTCCGCACCCAGTGCCTCCCCTCCCTCTTCAACTCCTGCACATTCACCCTCTTCTCTCCATCACAAAACTATAAAAAAAACCCACGAAATTCAACACCATCAAATTCAAAAATTGAAAACCCTCCTCCTTGTTCCGTTCCTTTCTGTCACAGCTTCTTGCTTCCCTCACTACGGGGTTCACTCAGGCCCGATCTCGGGTGCAGCTGAGGTGGCCCGATCTCAACAACTCTGTTACCTTCCCGATCTCAACCACCACCGATTCGATTATGTTCGAATTCAGAGAAGCCAACAACAAATCTACCTACGACGCCATATAGAGAGTTTCGCTGATTTTGAACTCGCCGTGCACGGTTCCTCAACGGACGTCACCTTTCCCTCAGAATTCTAGTTCCTCTGCCACTTTCATGTCCATCGTCGGTGGGATTGAATCGCTTGGGGTTTCGGTGAGCAAACAAAGCTGGGTTCTTTATTTTTTATGGTGATTCATGAAACTTGGTTCGAATCCACACCACCCTAGATGAGAAATCACACTGACCAAACCATGAGTATCAAAGATTGATTCTTTTTAGGGTTAGGGTCGGGAATGGATTGAATTGGATTTTGGGCATGATCTTTGTGGGTTTTAGGTTTAGGTTTTTTATTTTTAATATCTACGTGGGTCTACACGTAGTGTGCAATCATTATCTACGTGAACTCCACGTCATTAGTTAACGAAAGTTTTGACAAAAAATTTAACTGATGTATGAAAGTATCCTAGAATTATGAATTTGGATACTAGACTGAAATGAAAAAAATTTCATGTACCAAATGTTGAAAACCAATAAACTTCATAAAATAAGCTGAGTTTAACCTTACATTTTTTTAATAGAGGTGATCATACTTGAATAGGACTGACTGTATGATTGTCACACTTATTTAGTAAGTTATCCACCCAAATAGATTAATCTTTAGTAAAGGGGCTAAAAACTCAAAATAATTCGACTAAACACTCAAATGCCTAAAAACATGGAGCGTAATGCCTTAACCACATCAAGGGCTAACTTGATACACATGATTAAGTTGGAACTGATAATTTAGTGAATTAAAAGTATGGTGAAGGGAGAAATTATAAAATTATGATCACTTTTTTAAAAGAATAGAAGATGGATTACTCATGAAGAAAGATTATCCATTCCAATTCTCCTTAAAATGGTAGGATTATAAGGGATGAAATTCCTTCATGGCTAATCATCTTCTGATCTCCTCCAAATGAAAAACCATTCACTTGCATCCTCAACCTCCAATCCAATCGTGTGTACCAAACCATGATAGAACCCCAACTTCACTTCTTACTCAATGTAACAGTAACAATATGTATATATTATAATATTCAACTTTTACAACAACAACCGTTTTTTCTTACAACTTTCCTTATATAGCAGCTAGCTATCTTAGCCACTAAAAATCCTAGTAACAATCTTATATCTAATTAAAACCAACTAACCAACTTCTCATATCCAATTATTAGTTACAACAACTAACTACTTGTGCTGAATCATCATCCTAGTCAACATCTTATCAATACCCCTCCCCCCTTAAAACAAGTTGTAAAACAAGACTTAAAAATAGTGTAAAACTCAAGTTGAACAACTGAAGAACATTACAAATGAACCATTTCAGGGAATTGAGTCTTCAAATCTGAGAAGGTTCACAAGTAGCTTCTTCTGGAGTATGATTCTGGTAGTGAACTAACACTTCAATGACTACAGTATTGCCCCTTTTAATCATCCTTTTGTCAAAAATTGCCAATAGCACATCTTGTAAAATACAAGCATTAGTAATCACTTGTGAATGAACAGTATAGGTTGAATTGCAGCACCCAAATGTTTTTTTAGACAAGAACATGAAAAATAGGATGTAACTTGGATGTTGCTAGAAGCTTTAATTTGTAAGCAATTGGACCAATCTTAGCCAATATTTCACAAGGGACTATAAAATCTTGGTTGCAGCATATGGAAGGGTGAGAAGCCAATGAAATTTGTTGATAAGGTACCAATCTCACATGAGCAGCTTCCAAATTAGTTTTAAGTAGTGACAACATTTTGTCTCTCTAACAAACTTCTATTAACCATTTCCAACTTAGTAGTACCAGCTTTATAGATAGAAAGAGATGGATGAGGTTGACCATAAACCACTTTATATGGAGATAGTTTTGTAGTAGAATGATAAGTTGTGTTATAGGTCCATTCTGCCTAGGGTAGCCACATAGACTATTTCTTAGGTTGGAAACTATAAAAACACCTTAAGTATTTCTGCACACACTTATTAACTACTTTTGTTTGACCATCAGTTTGATGATGGTAACCTCAACTGAAACACAAGGATGATCCTTAAATTAAGTGCAAAAAATTCTTTCCAGAAAGCACTTATAAACACAGGATCTGTATCACTGAATATAAAGATGCATCCCATGAAGCTTAAAAATATGTTCAACAAAGAGATTGGTAACTGATGCAGAAGTGAATCGGTGTGACAATAATACAAAATGCCTATATTTAGAAAGCCTATAAATTACAATCCAAATAACAGTTTTACCTCTACAAGGTGGCAGTCCTATTATGAAGTCCATTGAAATATTAGACCACATTCTAGAAGGAATTGGCAGAGGGTGAATTAATCCAGCTGGAGCCAAAGTTTCATACTTCTGTTGCTCACAAGTTTGGCAATTAGCTACCATGTCTCTGATCTCTTTCTTCATACCAATCTAGTAAAAGGATCTGGAAAGCCTTTTATATGTTTTTAAGAACCTAGCATGACCAGCAAAAGGACTATTCTGATATTCTTCAAATACAGTTTGTCTCCAAGAGCTAGTGGGACTTAGTACAATTATGTACTTGTACTTTAGGAACCCATTGTCAACCTAGTATTTCAAAAGATTTGAGTGCAGATAAATCTGTGATATTCTGTACTTCCTGTATTTTTGCCAAAATCCAAGAATCTTGTTCACTATGTCTTCCTAAATCATCCATCCAACTGAGATATGGATAAGAAATAGCTAGGAATTCCATGTGAGAAAGTTGAGAATCTGGTGGAACCATTTGTGCATCCCTAGCGATTCTAGAAAAGGCATCAGCCACTTAATTATCACACCCTTGTTTATACTATATCTCATAGTTGAAACCAAGCAATTTAGAGACCCATTTCTATTGAAAATGAGTATTGGCTATATTTTGCAAGAAAAACTTCAAACTATGATGATTTGTTTTGATAATAAAATGCCTTTCCACTAAATATGATTGCCATTTCTTAATTGAATGAATGATAGCCCTCATTCTCTTTCATAAGCAGATAGAGATTGATTTCTAACACACAAAGTCTTGTTGGTAAAGGCAATAAGCCTTCCATTTTGCTGTAATACAACTCCAATACCAAAACCTGAAGCATCACTTTCATAAAGGGCTGAGTAAAGTCAAGTAATGCCAATACCTGAGGAGAGGTCATAGCTTGCTTGAGTATATTGAATGTTGTTGTGGCTACTAAGAACTATCAAATGGCCAATGATTTTTCCAACATCGGGAATAAATTTCCTATAATACCCTGTAAGCCCCAGAAATCCTCTTAAAGCTTTCACTAATGTTCACTACAAGAAAACATGGATTCTGCGATGAATGGGTTTGTCACATATACACTAGAATTCGTCACATATACCTATATGTGATGAATTTCCTGCGTCACAAAATGCATCATATATACACAGTCACCTATAGTCAATGTGATGAATTTTAACATTTGTCACCTATTATATCTATATGTGACACTTCTTTCCCTCACATATTCGCAGCTCGAACTCCATAGTTGAACAAATATGTGACGCTTTGAGCGTCATTTATTATTAGAATATGTAATGACTAATGCTTTCGTCACATATGTTTGAATTTCAATTTTTCCTTCGATTTTGCTTTTTCTCATTTAATTTTTTAATCTATAATTAATACTTTATTTAATGAACCAGGAAGATGAATAATATGAATTACAACGTAATGACAATTTATAAATCAATAAATGCAATAACATTACTAACATGTTTAATAAATTGACCATGTACAAGAGAACATATGTGGTTTAGAAACATTAAACTGATGAAAAGCCCTAAAACAACCTAAGTCTCCCACTGTCATACAATAAGACTACATGAAACCGAATTGGGTCATGAAAGACTCTCGCGTTGCTGCTATTGTTGGTTGGAGGGCGAT